ATTAATGTATTAAATAGATAAAACAAAATCTAAAAATAGATATATTTCTATACCGGGAATGCGACGTTAATGAGAAGCTCAGCTATTCATTAATTAATTTATTAAGCAAATTATTTTTCTAGCAGTCAAGCAGCTGCAATCAAAAAGCTGAGCTTATCATTATTTTATTTGGAAACTACATTTTTTCTTCGGTGAGCGAGTGACGGCAACTAGTTGATTAGCTATTTATAAATTTATTTATGAAATAAAGCATTTTTTTTTGCAAGAAAGCGACGGCAATGAGTAACTCAGATTTTTAATAGATTATTTAATAAATACAATATTTCTTTGGCGAGCAAGCGGTAGCAATAAATAGCTCAGCTTTTTATGAATTCCTTTTATTGTTAAACTTATTATTTGGCAAGCAATCGTCAGTGGTAAGTAGCCCTGCTTTTTATTAATTCATGCAATGAATAAATTATTATTTCTTAGGCGAGTAAAAGCGGTGGTAATAAGTAAATTAGCTATATAATAGTTTATTCGTCAAATGAATTATTTTTATGGCAAACAAGTGTCGGTAAGAGAAATTCAGCAATTTATTTGTTAGGAAAAATCGGGTTTCACCTGGTGCGTATTCGACCAGGGAATCATGAGTCAGCCAATAACGCTACGCTTATGATGCTTTTATACTGCTAGCCTATAGATAAACTTTTTCTTTGACAAGCAAGTGACGACAACGAGTAGCTCAGCTTTTTGATAGATTATTGAGTTAATAAATTTATTCCTTGGTGAGCAAGTAGTGGCAATAAGCAAATTAGCCGTTACTTAGTTTATTTAATAAATTTATAACTTCTTTGGCGAGCAAGCGATGGCAGTTCATAGCTCAGCTATTCATCAGTTCAGTTACGAAATAAATTATCTATTTTTGGAGTGAGTGACGCCAATAAAAAGCTCAGCTTTTGATGAGTTCATTTGATAAATAATCTTTATTTTTTGCAAGAAAGCGATGGCAATGAGTAACTTCTCCATCTATTAGTTTATTTCATAATCAAATTAACTTTTTGGTGAGCAAGTGACGGCAACGAGTAGCTCAGATTTTTATTACATTATTTGATAAATGGATTATTTATTTGATGAGCAAGTGGTAAAACTATGTAGCTCAGCTTTTTTATTAGTTGAATTGATAAATAAAAAATTTTTTTTGGTGACAAACGGATGGCAAGAAGTAACTTATCTATATCTTAAATTTATCAAGCAGATACATAGTTTCTTTAGCGAGCAAGTACCAGAAATAAGAAGTTTAGCTATTTATTAATTTATTTAAAGAGTAATACATTCGTTTGGCAAGTGAGCGATGGCCTTACATAAAATCATTTAAACAAAAGTTTATTTGTCAAATAAATTAATTTTATGGTGTGCAAGTGGCACCAATAAATAGCTGAACTATCTCTTAGTTTACTTGATAAATGATCTATTTTAGTAGCAAGCAAAANTGTTACTATTTTATCTATAAATGATATATCAAAACTGTAATGTTGCTTAGCAGCAATGTTTGATTGCCTACTGGCACTTTGTTTCTCACAATACTGAGAATCGATTAGATTCTGCTTGCTGATACTTGCTTGCCAAAGATATAATTAATTTTTCTTTCTTTTATGTTTTACCAGGTTAAGTACCGCGACAGTCTAAGCATCGGATCCAGGCTAATCTCTACCTGTTTCACTAATACTGT